GTGCTTTAGTTTAACAACTCACTTGGAATCATCAGTCCAGTCGATACAAGTTGTTTCATCATATGGACCATAATAAGTTTTGTCCAGAACGAATGCATTAAATTCTCGTTTCTTCCCAGGAGCATGGTACATAAGAGCAACATTGTCTTTTGTAATCACAAATTTCCTGTCATATGGGGGGGAAAGTATAATTGCACACAAAGCTGTTAAAGCAAACAATTGTTCAGAACAGAGTGCAATACAAGAAAACAAAACAATGTTAAAAAGGGTTTCTGCATTACTGAAGTGATAAACATGGGTTGCTTTCAAATTGGAAACAGAAAATTATTTGCAGATTCGTATCATCCCCCAACTTCATGAACGCAGGTATACCTTAGGCATTGTAAGACAAAACCTTCAGTAAAAAAAATCACTTAAGTTGAACAACAAATACTTATTCTCTAATTCTCACAAAGGAAAGAAAAGTTCAAACATTCGAAACAGGATGTTCTATTTCAACTTCTCTTCACCTCCATATATGGGCCAATTTCACAAACACAAAGCATCTGCATCCCTGTTACACATATCCTCTAAACTGGTCCTGTTGCCAGTATGATTCTCTAGCACAGAACTGTGACTCCAACTTTCAAGAAAAAAATCATTCATGATGACCTTAACTCAATCCAACTGAGAAATGCCAGCAAAAGGGGAACTCTGCACTTTTTCCTCTCACCCTTCTGATACCTCCAACATTTATGTCACCACACTTTGGCTCAGTGACCATGCAGCCAAGGGACATGAAAAGAGGCACTTGATTCAGAGAACCGCCTCTTTCAGTAGCACAGTTGTCTTAGACTAACCCGTCAGCAGTGAAACTGCTCCGCCACAAGTGCCATCACACAACTCTGCAGCACTGATTGTCCCCCCCATGGGCTCCTCCACCTTACCTACAACACATAAGAACAGTTAAGACTCACAGCAAATCTTCTGTGTTTCTAAGAGTTCCACCACAGACAGACATCATCTGTGACAGACAACCGTCCAGGCAGTATCTGTTTCCAAGGCTTTGCTTTTCCTCTTTTCTTCCCCTCTCAACTTTACAGATAAAGTGACTCTGATCAGCTCAAAATCTCCCCTATATTAATCAATAGGTATCATCCCCAGATTGGTCATAATGTCTTAATAATTACAACGAGCTTCTGGGGTAATTTCTGTTGTTTTGTTCTAAAGCATGCACATTTTACTTACTTGCCGTCAGGGGAAAAGCTGACACTGTGAACTGGCTTGTGAAAATAAAAGTGATGTATCACACGTTTACCGATCAAACTGACAAGCAAGGCAGCTCCCTCTGTAAGGGCAGAAAAAGAAGGATCACGGAAATAATCCAGTTCCCAAAGAAACTATCACCCTAGTAAGCTTAGTTTCTTTACTGAGAGAGGGGAAAAAGAACAAAAAAAAAAACCCAAAACACACAAACAGTACCTCCTCAGAAACTTTTCAAGACCGTGTACTTAATATTATTAAGAAGAAAAACACAATCAAAATTACAAGTCACTTTCTAAATTTTGTAAATAAGTTCTTTTTAAGTTTTGTAAATAAAGACACCTTCCCCTGAAATTCCAACATAATTTTCAAAGCGAAGCACTTCTAATTTGTGTTAAGGTTGAATACCTAGCAATACAGACTTTCCTCTTCAGGCTGTATTTTTATTTCATTCTCTTACAAAACAAATGCCTCCTTTATGAAAGTACCTTCATCAATTAGTATGGCAAGACTTCCATCTGGAGAGAGCCCCACGCACGCAATATTAAGCCGCGTAGCCAAAGGAAATGTCTCACACTTATTACTGCAAGAAAAAGATAGAACGGTAAATCGGGTACAAGGATGTAGAAATAACAGTCATCTTCTGCATCAATGAAATATGGTTTGATACCTATGTTAAAGCCACTGAATCAACTTAGATGTAAAGCCCCCACAGCTTTCTTCAGCTGCCACAATCCCATAAACACCAACTATGGGCTCCTGACCAGAATCCTGGTATAACGAGCATCAATCACAACTCTGGCCTATAAGAAAAGGCAGATGACAGTCTAGGCTTTGCCGTATAAGAGAGACAATACAGGACAGAAGCACGCAAAGAAACCATATGACTAGATCAAACGCAAACTATCCCCCCCCCCCCCCAATCCTTTTTAAAACACCTTTTTACACTACTCCCCCCCAATTCGTTTCTAAAGCACATCTTTACATACTACTTATGCTGTTCTCCCCACAGGCCTACTAGGCAGGCTTCTACCTTTTAACGCCAAGCCAGAAGCTTTTCAGGACATTTTGGGAAGGCAAACCATCCCTGAAAACCCCAGCCCATGCCCGTCCTTTCACGTAGGGCCGCGGGAGCCGGCAGTGCAGGCAGCACCGCTCCCTCTGCCCGCACCACCACGCCCACCGTGGGCAACGCGGACTTGGCTGCCGCCGTGCCGCCCTGGGGTCGGTCTCCACAACCTCCTGTGAGCTCCCCCCATCCCCCGACAGCCGTGCTGGCAGTGCCAGGCCCTGCCCGCTGCCGCCCCGGGCAGCGGCTGGCGGAGTGCTAGGCCGCGGGCCGGAGGGAGGCGGCGGAGGCCGGGGCTCGCTTACTTCTTCAGGTCGAAGAGGGAGATCCTGTTCCCGACGGGGCTGAGGAGGGCGCTGCCATCGCGGGTGAAGCTGAGGTTCCCGCGGCGGTACACGGTGCCCAGCAGGCCGGAGAACTGCGGGGGGAAGCGGGGGAAGGAAGAAAGGGACAGGCGGCGGTTAAAGGGTCAGGGGAGAGGAAGGCAGGGCCGCCGCCCGCCCGGGCGGCTGCCGCCGGGCACTCACCCGGCACGCGAACTTCAAGGCGGCGGCCCCCCCGCAGGGGCGCGC